CAAAAAGCTGCTGCACTTCTGCTGCGTGGCCCTCCGAATGGTGCTGCATGTTACACGCTCTGTCTCCTGCAGAATGCGAGCTCCAAATATTTTTCTTCTCTCTTGTGGGACCCCAGAAAAACGAACCAAGACCTCTGAACCTACACGCCCCAAGAGTGCAATAAGCCAAGTACCTACGTAAATCTGTAAGACGTCCCGAATTCTTTCGCGCACAGTTTAGTCGCAACGGTATACGTGAAAAAATAATCAAAGACAACGCCAAGTCATCGAAGGTCGGCGTCATTTGGGGGGGGGGGCGAGGACATGTACCCATCCATGCAACCCCGGAATTTGCGCCGATGCGTGGGCGAATCGGGGTCGTTTGGGAGAGACATACACATCAATGTATCCCCGGCTTGTCCGCCGAGGCATCGTCCCTTCGGTTCCATTTATGGGTAGGGGGGCATATACCCATGTATCCCCGGGTCTACTATCGAGGCGTCTGTGCGTCGGCGTCCTGTTCTCGCATGGGGTGAATCACCGCTGGCGCTGCTGGCGATGTGGAGCGGTGGAGATCTACTACAGATGGCAGACACCCCGCACATTACAGGGTCAATATCTCAATCTTGGCGTGGATACCCCACGAGCAGCCCCTATAGCCCGTAGTCGCAATGTAACACAATAAGAAAACCAAGGATGTACGTACAAACGAGTACATTTATTTGCGAGACAAGATCGATCCCTGTTGTGCAGTGCCGAAGGAGGTGGCCAGGAAGGGGAAGTTGGCAAGGCGGGTGGTTCAGAGTGGAAGCTGGTCAATGACGTGTTCCAACCTAATTTGACGGATACTACTGCTATATCTTGACTATTTTTGTACTCCTACTCTTTTTCAATGTTGGCTCGTGGGGCTTTGGAACTGAAGTTCTACGAAAAGGTAGATACCGACGCCCGATTGTTTGTTGTCTAAGACAAAACACTTCGTTCCCCCGGGCCCCTTCGAAACAATGAAGCAGTCTCCGGCGGCCGAAACAATCCTACACCCGAGGCTGGTGTGGAGCTTTACATAACACTCTTGCCCTTTCATCTGGCCGTTTCGAGACATACAACATACTGAGACGCAACGGAGGCCGGCCACAAACCGCAGCTTAGTATGGACTATAAGATGTACCACACACAGCTGTCGCTACAAAACGAGCGACAGCTAGCTGATAGATGTAACTGTCCTCTCGGACGTGTGCGTCCACAGACAGAAACAGACAGAGTGCAAACACCACGCACCTGATACTACTACACCTACCTGCTGTGCGCTGGTGTGAGAGCTGCTGTGGTAACGTAAACTTTCACCTGCCGGCTACCCCCCCCCCGTGTCCACATCCCGCTTTCGTGAACGAACCTAGTCTACTACACACTGTTGTTGTTCCTATTTATTTTGATCGTTGGTTTCCCAACTCCCACGAAAGAGAAGGATGACACAACAAGTCGGCTCTCGTCACGTAGCGCACCAATCGTAATCACACCACTTCGAGCGTGTGTGTGCTCCATTGCGATAATATCTCTAGGCGTGACAGCTTTGATAGGCATGGGTGCCGAGTGTGGGAAGACCTTCGCGACGGCGTGGAATCCAAATAAATCGTATTTTTTTGCCCAGACAATCGGGCTGCATCCCCTGCGAAATAGCCAAACCGTATTTCACATCGCCATGATGCTCTCGACGCATACAGAACCAATGCGAGTCTACTCCCGTCACGCCATGACATCTGCGAACGTCTCCATGGGAGTCGCTAATGAATACTTCCATGGAAGCTTGGGCCGGACGGCATACTTCCATGGAAGTTTCGCCACGACACGTTTGGACAGCTTCCATGGAAGCAAGATATTTTTACTTCCATGGAAGCTGGGGTCGGGTGGTGTACTTCCATGGAAGTAGAGCGTTGATGCTTCCATGGAAGCTTGAAATTATGCTTCCATGGAAGCTGTCCGAATATGGCCCACTTCCATGGAAGCACGTGGAAGTGGGTGTAATCTACTTCCGTGGAAGCCTTCCAAACCACTTCCGTGGAAGCTACCAACTTCCGTGGAAGCTTCAACTTCCATGGAAGTTGTCGCTGACCCCCCAGCTATGTGAACTTCCACGGAAGTCCACCGCACTTCCATGGAAGTAAGTTTCGAGCTTCCATGGAAGCTAAAATCAATGAGCTTCCATGGAAGTATGTACTGCTTCCATGGAAGTAAACATCTACTTCCATGGAAGCTACACCCATATGGACAGTAATAATGTAGAGGACTGGTTTGACCTGGCCTCCTGTAGCCCTACCACCGATACATCTTGCTTCGCTGCCTCGGGTAGGATGCTGAAGACTCGCCTGTACCCATTCTTACCGTTTACAGCCAGAGTCCGCACATTCCAGGTTGCTACCCTAAGAAGTCGACCCCGCGGTCCCTCTCGGGCGGTGCGTGCTGCTCTCTTAGCCAGCCTAAACCCAAGTCGGCTAGGTCGCGAGCTACCCCGATCTTACGACAGCGGTAGTTCCCGGCCGCCAAACTCAGGATCCCCTTCTGATCAGTGCTAGGGACTGTGTATCCGTCTTTGTTGGGTGGTGTTTCGAGGTCTAAGTCCACTTACGGACCTCGGCCCACCCCAGCAGGGAGGGGGGCAGGCCGGGATGATTCATTACTATTTACGCTTATTATCTTCCGTGGATGGATACCGTTCGAACGTTGTTTGTGTTGTATGAAGGAATTTACGCTTTAGAGAAACAGGTACTACGATTAAGCTGCACGTCACTACTACAGTACTGCTACTGTAAACTCCCACACTGAACTTGCATAGCAGCGTGGACATGAACTACTGTATGTACATCTGACACGCGATGTGGATAGGTGGATGTATGCTCAGCAGCAGCACAGCTTGCCAACTTTGCAGTTGACAAGTTGCGTTCGCAAGCTGCGGAACGGCATGTATTCATTCCTTGCTTCTTCATCAGTTCCATCTTCTGTTTTAGAAGGAAGACATTTGTTTCCTGCGGCTCTCGCACCTTGCCATTCCACGATCACGCAGCAAGCACAACAAGCGCACAGACATAGAGAGCCCTGTACTGCAATAGTACAGTAGGTAGGAAGGTACGGCTGCTGTGCGATGCTGCGATGCTACTGCCTCATCTTTGGCCGCCTGAATTTGCCGAGAAAATATGCGGACTGATTATTTCACGGTTGGAATTTTCCCAAGGCTACCATCGCACGAGCCCGAAGACTTTGGCCAATCAAATGGCCTGCCGCCCTTTCGTCTGATGAATCGGGGATCGATCGTTCTAACCTCAAACGCGGGATGGGATACCTCAAGAGAGCTTCGAGCGAGATTCACAGCAGGCGTCCTGCCCGAGTTGGAGGCTCCATCCATATGGCTTGGAGGAGCAGCATGCGAGCTCTTGGTTGGAGATCGATGTTATTGCTGGTGGCAGGCCACCAGGTGCTGCGTGTGTCGGGTACCAGTTCTTCATGTGAGTTGGCAGACGGGATTTCTTCTGCTATAAATGTGCATGCAGGCGATCGAGTGGTGGGCATGTTCGGCGGTGAGCCATAACAGCAGGGCCACGGGTGTTCGAGAGTATCATTGGACGGTAGGGTGACTTGCCACCACGAGCTCTACGGAGAAAGGGAGAGACGTGCTAGACTCTTCGTGTACGGTGTACCTTTGGTCGCGATCAAGCATTACTGAAAACGAGTGCGATGTCCGACATGTGCTTGGATTCGAATTTTCACGCAAGTACGGCGCTTGCCTGTCGCTTCAAGCAAATCAACGCGGCGGCGGTGCGTGCGGTGCGGTGTACAGCAGAAGGGCTGTTTTCGTGATGATTCTACCAACAAGTCGTGTGCAGCAGTGTCCCGAAAGCAGTGCATGGTCGTCGTCTCCCATTCCGTTAGGTTGCATAGTTTGTGCTGTGGTGTGCGAAACTCACAGAGGGTGTGTGTCGTTCCGGCGTTGCGGGCGTGAAGTCATCACGTTATTGGTTCTGATGATGGACATCGATCTCCGCATCAACTCTTGGTTGGGTGTAGAGTACTGCAAACAAATGCATATTTTCAACAACTCTGTTAGTGATGCTATTTGAGGCATTCGCCAATAGAACAAGCGCGGGTGAAAACCATTCCTGTACAAGTAGTCTAGTCTATGTCGCTAGACTCGAATGGTATGTAGACCTATAAAGCTTTTGTATCATCCTCCCGCAAAAACGACACTCGCAAGTGCTGGTGCATCCGACGCTTTAACCACAGCTCTGCATCCTACCGAAGTATTCTGTTTTGCCCTTAGAAATCACGACGAATTGATCCATCACCATCCACATCCACATGCAGATGAGTCCAGGCTAAATTCGCAAGGAATTGATAGTATTAGCGGTCACTACCTCTGTTTCTGCGATTGATTCCCCAAGCAGCATACGTATCTCCCCTGTGGTCAACAAGAGCAGCATATTATCTCCCCTCCTGTTGTTAACATGTTGGACATCAGAATGTGTTCCGAAAGGGGCGCAACAATAGCAACAACCGGTGGCTCCTACGTCAAGCAACTGCGAAAATTTTATCCGTTGGTCGTGTACGAGACGCGAAACATACACGTACGCTACGGCAGGTGTCTATAGATATGAGAGAACCCCCACTGCTCCCCCAGAGGGTACGGCGGAATTTCTGACGTCCTGCCCCAAACTGAACGAGAGGGCCAATCGGGGTCTGTTTTGTTCCATGTATTCTCAATTTCTTTGCTGACAGAAATTCCCGCCATTGCGCCGCATCACGCACGAATTCTTGTGTGTGTGTGGGCGTGTGAGAGGGAGAGAGGGTTGGTGGCTGTGCTTGGGTATACTCCACAATCAGATGTTCGCATCCAAAGTGAAATGTCGTATGGTTAAGGTCGCTTTTCCCTCACTGGCACGTCTGTTGCACCAGAATCAATTTCCTGAAGAATCGAACAACGACCTGCATTCTCAGTCATCATGTAAATGTGTCGCTCCGTTCGGCATATATAGATGAAGTCAGGGGTGGAATGGATGATGATGTGGAGAGCCGTCGAGAAGGATAGGAAGGGGACCACAGACAAGACAACGAACGCCCTCTCCGATACGCGTGAGAGTTTGTTTCATTTTGTGTCCTGGCATCAGTTGTACCCTTTTCTGTATATTTTCTGGTGGACGTATCATTCTGCCTCACATCTTTCTGCGGCTGCCTTAACGATGGTCTCTAGTCAGATATTCAGGTATTTCTTTCCTTCGTCGACTGTTGTGACGTCAAAACGTACGGAAGGGTACATTGAACAAATCAAATCGCTCTTCACACTACGGATAATTGGGCAGAATGTTGGAAAGTCCCAGTTCGCGTGACTCGGCCGAGATTCGAGCCCACGTCCAGAACGTCGGCGGAAGGTTGCGAGGGTACCGAATGACCACGAGCCCGGGAGGAGGAGGACGATGCTTTTTTTGTGATCTCTGGTTGATCGAGAGGAACGAGGGGGATCAGAATCCCCTCCTGCTAATTCTGAAAACTTTCACACGACCCTCTCTAACAAACCATCAATACATCCACTACGGAGACTGTCTTGCCATTTGAGAAACAGAGACGAGGAATTTGGCAACATTAAGGGTGTAGTGTAGGTGCGTTCATGGATGGACAAATAACACGGATGGTGGCTTAAACGCTGTATTCGTAAGAAAATTCCAAATCACCAGTCATCGACGCAGTCTCGGTTCTGCCCGATCTTCAAACCAAGAGCTTATTGTTCGTGATTACGGGGTTTCTCGGGGGTAAACTGCCACTCTCACGTCTACCTTCGCATGCGCGAGGTGAAATTGTGGACTCGTCTCCGACGCCATAGCCAACGCACACGACTGCATTGTTTTGACGAGAGATTCCGGCCTGGCTAGCGAAAACTCGGTTTCCTTCACTTACTCTTACTGGAGGCAGGTATGGTGTTTGGAGGGGGACAGCTTGTTGACAGAAGCGCAGAGCAAAGACTGACCCCGTCGACGTATTGTTCGGAGTGAGACAACGAGGAACCCTGCCGGGGGCCACGGGGTCCAACTTCCCTATCACCACACCCAACGCATCCACGTATCCCTGGAATCTCTGTAGATCCGTATCGAGTGTCGGGTACCCCAAACATTGGGTGGGGAACAAGCACGCGGAGGTATGATACGTCAACATTTGCACTGTGTACGGCCACAACCGGTGGGGGGAGGGTGGGGGGTGTACTCATAGTCGTGCATGCCGTAGTCGTTAGACCATTGACCTCGCATCCCTACAAAGCCGGGACGGAGCATGCCGGGTTATCACCGGACCAGGCTCTCACGTCACCAAGCGCGAAGCGCCGTGAGGTATTTGGCGAGTCGCATGAAGGGTGAGCTGCATCCTGCTAAGGGTGTTCGGCATCTTGTGCTTACTTCCTTGCGTACGGATGACCGTTACGTATGACTTTATTTATTTTCTGGTGCTTTCACTTCCAGAGACAGTTATAAGCACTGTGTAACTGCCTCGAGGATGCTTGACCATTTTAACACAGCGTGGTGCGACCACCCCCTTTGTACGGAGTGAGGTTTCTCGACCCCGCACAACATGATCTACTCGACCACCATTATGGTTACCGCAAACAAAAAAAAGAGAGGTAAAAAATAAACGGTAACCTGGTTGCCGAGTTCACGAAGTGAATTGGCTTGTTTTACAACGTCGTTGCCAAGCGACGAAAACCCAACCTCGATGGCAAACACCGGGGTGTGTGTGTGTGTGTCAAGAGGAATAGCGGCAGATGGAGACGGTCTGGGTCATTCCGGCCGGATAGTAGACGAAAGCGAGTAGCGATCGTATGCAAGAAGATTCACCATGACTCGAGCAACAACTGTCCTACTGATAATTATTGGCAAATAGATATCCGCGTTGTTCGTCTTTCTTCCTGCCTGGTGTGGCAACACAGACCTCTGCTCCGCTTGCTTTTGCCACCTCGCGAAAGTACAACACGGGCCCGCACTTGAGATTTTTTGTTTACCAAGTAGAGGCTTTCATTTTCACGAAAAACAAGAAAAATGGAATAAAAGAAATACTTCAGCGGTGGACCCTTGCACTAAATGTACCTTTGCTTCACAGTCCTTTCTCGAGAGTCGGGGATGAATGCCGGAGAGAATAGCACGACCTGCAGATGCGCGAAAACAAAAAAAATCAAAACAAAGCCCTTAGCCTCTACCTGACTTTGACGTTTCTTATCCCCGGGCCCGTACTGCTCTAGCTGGCTGCACAAGCGTGACCGTCTCGGGCGTCGGACTGTCATCGGGAACATACAGGGAGCTTTCCTCCACCTCCTACTACTACGCCGCCGGAGTCGACTACCACGAGCTGTACCTGTCCGATGGCGCATGGTACATCATACCCGCCATCGCAGACTATCCTCGGTATCGGGTGAGCAACAAGAGGGGTTTGGTGTTCTTCTAGTTGTTGACGAACTCAGCGTTGGGCTGCCTGGTTTGAATCTCCTGACATGAGTGAAAACACCGAAGGTTCTGTTCATGTTTGAAGCGGTCGCGAGTTCAGCCTCAGGGTAAATTACCCTAATCATGCGACCGTACGTAGCAACGGTAGGGCCGCTGTGGTTGGCTCTGCATCGCACCTACCAATCTTGGATTTGTCCCCCCGGGGAGGGGTGCCTTCGAAAAAGCTACATAAAACGAAATTATGTTATTGGAGTTTTCCTAACCAATACCGGGATTTCGCACCCATCTGGATTATGCAATTCAAAGACAAAGAGATACTATGTTACAGTGCGTGTACGCGCATTATTACGATGACTTGGTTTGGCCGCTTGTCGCCAGCTTGTCAATCACCAGGCAGGTTATTCGATTCACTCTCGCGTTTCCACCTCCGATGGACCTGGTCTTGTTGTCGCGGCCGAGAGGAAATGTGTGCGTAGTGACGTGTTCCTGTGAAGGCAGAATATTACAACACACGACATGACGGAGGGTTTCTCCCCGACATTTTTGTCGTTGATCCAGTAGATAGAGGAAACTACGGGGAAGATGTCTTGTGACTAGCACCTGCTGGCATCACTCATAAAATGTCAGTGTAGAGGCTTAAATAGACTCGAAGTAAGCCCAGTACCCAGCCGGTTTCCCTCCACTCACTGCAAAGACTCCACCACATCCCCGTTCGAAAGTGGGTATATCTCGAATGGGTAGTCTTCCTGTGTTCGTATTTATTTTTCCTATTAAATGTTAGGGTATCTGCGGCAGGATACGCCAGCCATTGGGCTGTCCCCCTTACCACATACCCTGGCGTGTTGTGTCCCGCAGACGTACGATGAGGTTGCACACCCCAGCGACATCACGCTGGGTTGGTCCGAATGCGATGTCCAGTTTTGCGACTACGTGGAGATGTCGACCGCCGTGACCGTCACGTGCGCAGGTGAGGTTGAGCCCGTTTACGTGGTACATCGCGAACTAGCTGTGAGGAGAGACGTTCTGTGTGGGGTGCAGCGGAAGGACGTTATCCTTCCCCAAGCGCACGTTCTTTCGTTCTTGTTCTTGGCGAGAAGGCAAACGCTCGCTTTCGCCAGGTATCCCAGAATAGCGTTTCTCACTTGTCCGTTTAGCTTCACGGAGTCTTCCGACATCATGTGTTCGTGCCCTGACAATTAACGTTCCCAAGTGCTGACCTCCGCTACAGGTGATTATCTTTTGTTTCGCAAAGTATTTCATTGTCCTTCGCCGTAATCACCCCCAAGAGTTATTCACCACCTCTGCAGTGGCAAAATAACCCGTCCGTATCAGGCTGAGGGAGGTGTAAACCCACCGTCCCCAACCCTTGCACCGTTGTGTTTCGTCTGTGCCGTCTCTGCAGTTTCGTCGAGTTCTGCCAGCGAGGCGACCACATGTGAGACCACCGCGGTGGACGTTGACCAGAACTTGGGGGCGCAACTTACAGCAGTTCCTCCGTATTTGTAAGCCAAGGCAGCCAGCTGTCCCCGCTATCCCCATCAGCGTTTCCACCTCCACTATCTTTCCTGCGTTGCCGTGCGCGAGCCCCCGTAACGAGCGCGCTACCGGCTTGTGCTGGTTGTCGTCTTCTGTCATTGCCATTGACCGCCTTAGCTGGCTGCCAGCAGGACCCTCTGATGTATCCCTGATGCGCCCGTTGTAGGTTGGTTATTTCTTCCTCACCCGTACGCGGGTTGTTTGTCCGTCGCCTGACCCGTCAAAATGCAGCGACCTGCACTAGCATCACCATCTCAAACTTCGGGGATTTTTCCGGAACCTACCGGGAGGTTGCTGGCACCAGTTCCTACGACGAGCTCTTCTACATGGCCGCAGGGTCCGAGTACTACTACGTGTACCTTTCTGGTGGGGCATGGTTCATACAACCAAACGTGGCCGACTACCCGAAGTACAGGGTGAGTCAGTTCAGTATCAGTACTCGGGAGGCATCTCTGCGGCTGGCCGTAGTGGGTAGCCGCGCCACCACACAGGGCGATTTGTGATGGACCCTCTCGGGTGTTTATGCCTCATGTCGGCTGCTCGAGATACGTCCAAGCCATAAATTTTCATCACGAGAAAAAGCTATCGTTGGCCAACGCGTGTGCCGCTGACTTCTGATTGGCCGAGCTTCCGGACGGGGCATGCCGTTAGCCACGCTCGAAAGTTCTCCTTGTGTTCCAGAAGGATCCGCAATAGGTTTTTGCCCTCATCCTTGTCCTCTCTTTTATGAAGAGTATATATTTGGAGGAACCTGTTATTCACTCTGAAATCGCTTCTGTATCACAGACATACGACGACGCCGCACATCCCGCGGACATCACCCAGAGTTGGGCCGAATGCGAGGCCCAATTTTGCGACTACGTAGAAATTGCAACAACCATGACCATCACGTGCGCGACAGGTGAGGTTGAGCCTTGTACTTGTAAATGGGGAAAATTCGCTCGAGAAGTGTCAAGGCATGCGTACTGTCGTTGCAAGAAGATGCCACAGTATTGGGTGGAAGGAGTGCGTTAACGTACGGCTTGCCCGGGTGTTTCCATAAGAATTTTGCAGGGCGAAGGCAAGCGCACGTTCTCGTAGCCCCCCCCCCCCCCA